AGGTAAAATCGTAAAATATTCTTATGAAAAGGTTTAGCCTCCCCTATTCTGAAAGCACCGTGAAGCTTGATATTTGAAACACTATTCTTTATGCACGCCAGTGGTTTTCATGGTATATCTATTTCTCCTGGTATTACCCATCTTATTCTTATTATTTTACTTCTGAAATTATGGGCCTTTTTTCTCAAAATTCTTTAGCATTTCGGAATAAGTGAGCTCAACAAAGAAGATATCACAAATCCTTAGCAACCTCTGACATGGAGTATGACGACGAAGTATACAGAAGACTTTCAAGACTGTTTGTACTATGCCAGGTGTTTTCCAAAGAGTCAGAGGGCTTGTGTCGAATCCAGAGGTGGTCACTTTCAACACCTCCTTTACGTTGGATGTTATGGCATTTATTCAGCATTATTTTTTGTTCCCAATGTTATGTCCTCATGAATTTAGAAATAACCACGTTGTATCAAATGTAATGTTTATTGTTGCCGAGTGTAATTTTTGTTAGCTTTATTTATTTTCATGTTCTCGATTTAACGTTTTTCTTCAACATTTCAAAAATTTTCAGTTTTCGTAATTTTCAATATTTTCAAGAAAGCGTTACTGTTTGCTTATAATCAAACGAGAGTTCATTGCCTAGTAGTATTCAATCATCGAGGAGCACCTATAAATGTGATCCTAAGTACCAGATGCTTGTGTGGTGATTGCCATTGCCCACCGGACCCATGAATACCAGAGCATTATGGGGGGAACGTTGACCGTCCATTTCTAATACCAGGGAAACTCCATTTGGTCGTACCACATCCATCTTCGACAGTTTAAGGTGGCTGATGATACAGATTTGAGGAACGTCTGTGGGGGACAAGCTCTCCATGGAGCTCAAGTTCTGTGACCTGTTTTGACCTTTCCAATGAGAATATGTACAATTCTATCGAATGTCATCGTTTTGGTTCCATAACATTTAATGTAGTTTGGCTGGCTGCTGGCATTGTGGTCAGTAGTACCATCAGAAGCAGATGCTAAAGGAAATAATGATGAAAACGGGCACAGTGGTGTCGACAGGAAGCGGTGCGTTCCACTCCGACGAGAGCCACTCACCGCTTGCAGCGCAATCGGGCTGGGCCGTCGACCACAAATAGCCAGAGAGCCAGCAGTATATTTTAACCAACCTCACTGCAAACATCGTAAGACTCAAAAATAATAAAAACTCCAGATGAGAATTTTTAAAAATGAGGGAGTATAATAAGAGAAAGCGTGAGTAGATGACACTGCTATCCAGGGCCGGCTTCGGAGTTTTATGCGCCCTGAGGTAAAGGACAAAAAATGCGCCTGAGTCTAACGGCGAATGGAAATTAGCTCGGCTGCAACAGTGCTTTCAAGAGCTAATGCCTTCCTGGTAACTGAAGAGCGGGGAGGGTGGCTGGTCGGTCTCGATTCGCTCAGTGGGGGATCGTGACCCCATGTCCCCCCTGGATCTGCCCTTGATTAAGAATTTGCGCTCACATGACCCCTACGTCGGTAGGTGACCCTTACGCTTTTCAGCGTCCCTGAATGACAATCCGTTTCGATGAAATGGACAAGCGTGCATTATCATAGCCGTCTAGTCGCTCAGGGGAATACTACTCCTAAATGTTACCGGCTTTGACGTACCATGCAAAAGCTGCATAAACACATCCCGGACTTGATTACAGCCATTGTACTGAAAAGATGTGGAGCGAGGCTTGCTCCAGATTTTTCGCGTCTCTTCTAGATATCTTACGAATTCGGAAAACTGGGAATTTGCTCACGTTCAGCCCAACTCATAAAGAGGATCTAAGACCGATCCTTAACAACCACAAGCCTATAGCTCTGCTTTCTGTTATAAGTAAGGTGATGGAGGGCTGCATTAAACGGTAGCTTCTGGAGTACCTTGAACGTCACGCCTTGATTAGCGACAGGCATGATGGTTTCCGGCACGCAACTGTATAGTAAACTCATCCAGTCTTATGGTGAGGCTCATGTTGTTGCTCGAGATATCACGGAATCATTCGATGAACTCTGGCAAGCTGTCCTCGTGTGCAAACTTCCAGAGAATCTTTGCAGATGGACGGCTGGCATTTTCTCCTGCCGCAAGATATCCGTCGCAATTGACAGGTTCTCCTCTCCACACCATAATGTCAATACGGGCGTTTTCCAGGGATCTGTCATGTCTCCGACATTGTTCCTCTTACATGCCAATGACCTCCTTTCCTGAAGCTATGCTGACTAACAAGAAGTAACCCAGTACACATTAGGGTTCGATGGATGGCTTATTTCTACCAAAGAGCCGGTCATTTCTGCTGGTCGGAGTCCAGATCACCGAGGAATTGATCAGCAGCTGGGTAAAATATAAGCTATTTGTTGACGGCTAACAGGCGAACAGGCCGATACGACCGCTCCTTTGCCCCTAGGGTGTCGAGATTGTGGAACAATCTGCCTAGGGATGTTTTTCCCAATTCTATTAACCATAAGAAGTTCAAAAATTGGATTAACAAAGTGTTCCGTAGCAGCCGGAGTGCAGCGGTATTTATTCTCCCGCCTACCCGACTGCTTCGGTATGAAAAAATATGACTTTATCTACGTTGAGGGTTCTGTCGAAGGTATCATTATTCGCTTAGTGCTTTGAATAACCTGAATACTGCCCCAGGGGAGCCTTTCTAGTGAAATGAGCTGCTCATTTTTATCGGCGGCTCTCGAACTAATACTTCTTTTGTTTCCTTCGGCCGATGGCATCGCCGATTATCGCCTCCCGCTCCCCTCCTGGGGGAATGCCGGAACTTCCGGACACCTCTGCTTAGGTACTGCACGCTGTTTCACACTTTTTACGTCCCATCGAACGCGATAGTTCTTCTTCTAAGCCTCTACATCTTTCGCAAACTTAAACATTCGCAAACTTATAGTTCGTACGAAGTATGCATATGCGATCAATGCTTAGGAATATTTTGATCCTACGAATGTTCTTTGTGAAAACGCTAACAATGTCTCTTTTGTTTGTCCGATAGAATTACCTCTAACCTCTCTCCTTCTCAATGATTTTACACAACACCGTGGTGGTGTTCCACAAGGATCGGTTACGGCCCAACCATGATTTCTATTCCACATTGATTACCTTTGAACAATCTCTACATCCTACTAATATTATAAATGAAAAAGAGTGGATGTTCGTTACACAATCATGCCTAAATGGCTGAACGGATCTGCATCAAGCTTGGAGCATTGCTAGATCATAGTCTGGAATAAAACATAGGGGAAATAACTTTGTAATATCTGGTTTACGGGCTACACCACAACCGGCTTAATGGAATTTGTCATGTATCTGGCGTGGAAACGCTCAGTCGGTGGCCCGACCGGCATGAGAAAGGGTATCTCGTAAATGGAGCATTTGCGCCATGCATTCACTTCATTTCGACGTGACGCAGGTCATTTTTTTTTCGTTCTAAAGGAGGGTGTTCTGTGATTTAGACATTCGTTTTCTTAGAGTAATCATCTTGATTTGAATTGGGTGTTTTGTTGCCAAAGTAACTGTTGCATTACTTTCTCCTCAGCCAATCTCCTTCACGTTAATGCAAAACAAATGACCTATACTTTACACTACTTCCACGCAATAAGAATTTAAACTTCTTTCCACCCCTGTTATCGAGGAATTCGCGAAAATTTCACAATCTAAATATGTTTTCGTTTTTTCCAGTCGCTCTATGATTATGGAAGTACGGCTCAGACTGACGAAATTTTGTTACATTAATTTGGAAAGGATATATTTTTCGAAATACAAACCGCGATTTTTGACGTTTCCAACTTTCTGGTTACGCTAATCTAAAACATAATCAAATACTGTTTAGCCCGTTCAAAAAAAAACTCGTGCGTTTCTTATATTTCACTCGTAAGATTGACCCTCAACATGTTCGTGTACCTATTTCAATAACACCTATAATGCTGTACAGAAAGTACCTAGATCTATACGTACATGACTTCATTTATTTTGCGGAACTGGTGTTACACAAGGAGCGTTCTCAGCCCCATCATCATTTCTACTATACTGATTACCTCTCTACAGAACAAACCTTTTAGGTGTTCCACAAGGATCTGCTTCAGCGAAGTCATCATCTCTACGGCGTATTAATTACCTCTTTCCGGAACAAATTGATACATTTTTGCTAGAAAGCAACGCCCCTTAATCTCAGTGGTCCACACAACACCTTTGTGGTGTTCCACAACGATGTTTTTCAGTCCCATCATCATTTCTACACCATATTAACTACCTCTTTCCGGAACACATTGATACATGTTTACTAGAGAGCATTGTCCCTAAATCTATCCTCTTCTCAACGGCCAACGCTACACCTTTCAATTAGTCCACAAGGATCTTTTTCCGATCTCACCCACATCATCATTTCTACGCCACATTAATGACATCTGAACAATTACATCAACAAAAACATAAAGTCTTACTTCCCACGCTATGCCGAGAAAGTGTTGTTCCATTCCCGAAATTCAATCAACAACGTCTTTCATTCTCCTGATCATTTTTTGGCGTAGTTAAACATGTTTTAGAAAAAAGTAATGTATTCAAAATCCAAATTACATTTCTTTACGTTCTGATCACTCTAGTGGTCTAGTGCATAATCAAAAACTGTTTAGCTGGTTCAAAAAATTATTCATCCATTTATTATTTATATTTATCATTCGTAATATTGGCGCTTGAAATTTAATTTTCGTGTATTTATTGCAAACAGATTTATATCACTGCGCTGTAAATACTGCGCCATTCATTTGCGTAACTGATTACAAGAACCGCGCGGTGCTGGTGTTCCACAAGGATCGGTCTCAGCCCCATAATCATTTCTACATCACATTAATGATCTCTTTGCAACCAATTAGTTAGCTCTCCTAACGTCCCTCCACAACAGCGCGCCGGTATTTCGCAAGGACCGTTCTCAGCTCCATCATTTCTATCCTACATTAATGAAAATTGTTTTTTGTTTCAGGGCGACTACATATGGATCGAACCGACGACCGGGGGCGAATTCGACGTGGCGATTGGTGCCCGCGTGATTTCGGCAGAAGGCAGGCGCATCGCTGTGCGGGACGACGACGGCAACGAGCAATGGCTGCCTGCAGAGAGGAGGATCAAGGCCATGCACGCCACCTCGGCTCATGGGGTCGAGGACATGATCAGTTTAGGGGATCTGCACGAAGCTGGCATCCTCAGGAACCTGCATATCAGATACAAAGAGAACCTCATATATGTAAGTACACGGATTCTACGTGCTTCGCCAAGTGATAAAAGATCTCCAAGGTAATGGTCCCAATGCGGAACCCTGTGGTCCTTCCAAATCAACATTGACGGTGTGCTTGGACTTCTAGTCTCCTGTTGTACATAAAGTGTCGAAGTGTGTCCGTGTTTTAGGCTTAGTATATTTTCAAGCGATTTTTATCCTTGCTTGGTAGACTAACACATGGCGAACTTTGGTTTTCGCTGTGATCCAGTAAAAGGCACTCAGACTCAGCCAATTTATGGAGATATTTTTGTTTTTATGATATTTTCTTATCAACAACTGTATAAAATCAACAAATTTCAGAATCAAAACGAGAGCAAGGCTACTAGTCGTCAGTCTGTATTTTTTGGGAGAACGAATTTATTACTTGAATGAATATTCTATGATTGTGTTCAGGTTAATCAGACCATAAAGGATTCATTCACTCCTATCTCTTCTCTAGATGTTACAGTTGTTGTGAAACATTATGAAAGTAACGAATAATATTGTGTTTCAGATACCTTACGATAGTTAATCGGTGATTTTAACTTCAATTTGTTGCTTTTCCTGACGATATGACAAATCAAAGTCGGTTATGTATCCATTCTTAGAAGAATCACTTTTGTAATAGCGGAGGTCACGGATCATACAGCTTTAACAACAAAGAAATAAACATGAATTTGACATTTTATTCATATATTCGTATAGTGATATAAAAAAGTGTCTTAATATTTTAGGCTAAATATACCGGGTGAATCTAAATCAAAGTGAAGCTTTGGGAGAACTAAAAAAATATCCTAAGAATATGGATTCGAAAATTCATTATATGGTAGTAAGGTATCTAGAAGGGTAAACATAGAAAAGGAGTCAGTGCTAGCAAAAAAAGGCGGTAATATAAATTTGATGAAACATTTTCAATGACTATATGTCATTAAAGTGAAGGAATATAAACTGATGGACAGTTGCTTCGCAACATGGAAAGTTTTACCCAAAATCAAATCTTTGTGGAAAGGAAAGAGATATCGAGTTGCGGTACTCGACCGGTATATTTCTTTTATTTATCCACTTACAAAAGGTGAGCCAAGGAAGTCACGTTTTTTAGCAAACTTTGGGGCTGTCAGATTCTCAATTTTTGATCTTAGAAATCTTTCTACGCATCTTTTTGATGTTTGGACTATCCTAGAGAACGTGATGTCTCATTTTTCGAAAGTTGGCTATAACTCAAATTATTGAATTTTTAACTTCCCGCAATAAATGTCTTTTTCGGGTCGACCTCGTATTTTTTTGGATTGCCCTCTCCATGCAAATAGGACGTTTCTCCGTTTTTTCAAAAAGAACGAAAGAATTGTATAAAATTATTGGGAGAAGGTCGTTTGGTGAATGATGTAGCTTTGATTTATAATGTTCATCGGTCCTCAATATACCGTTGAAGACGTAGATATCATGATACCGGGGAAATGTCCTACTTGCATGGAGGAGGTAATAAAAAAAATACGAGGTCGGCCCTAAAGACATTTATGGCAGTAAGTAAGGCTAAGAAGAACTTTTCATCCAGAACCATCCAGAAAACTTACGGGGTCGCGCCAAGTGTAGCCGACTCTTGAACAATCATAGAGTCGCCAGGTACCAATGGCGACAGGAGCGGGTAAATTGGCATCAGCAGTGGCAAAATTGCATGCTTTCCGATGAAACATGCTTCAACCTATACCAGTCTGATGGTAGGGTACTTGTTCGGAGGCAAGCTGGGGAACGATATGATAGAGAAAACGTGGCTCCACAAGAGGCGTTTGGTAGAGGTGACATTACTGTTTGGGTTGGGGTTATGCAGAAAGGTAAAACCGAACTTTTTATTCCAAATAGGACAGTCAATGCTGCAGTTAATAGGGACAATATTTTGAACAATATTGTTGTACATATTGCACAGGATTTTGGGGACGATTTTGTCTTCATCGACGATAACTCCAGGGCACACAGCGCTGGTACGGTTATAAACTTTTTGGCAGAAAATAATGCTACATTATTGCCTCTGCCATCAAAGTGTTAAGACCTAAACAAAATTGAGCATGTATGGTCTCGGCTAAAATTTTTAGTACGGTCAAGACAAAATGCTCCTCAAATAATGGAAGAACTGTCTGAGGCTATTCAGGAAGAGTGGGATAAGGTATCGCGGGAATTTATTAACCTTCTGGAAAGTATTCCACGAAGATGCCAGGCTGTGATAGATGTGCGGGGGTGGCCCTACAAGGTACTAACAATATTGTTTAAAATAACTGTTGCTGTTTTGTAAATAAATAGTTTAGGTATTAAACTGGTCATCAAATTTTTGTTTTCTAAAATGTTATATACAGGGTGTCCCGAAAAAGTGTGCAAACCAGCGGTTTCTAGAGCTTAAAATAGGTATAAAAAATTATTTCTTTTGTTTTTGCCTAAATGTTAGCTATGTTGCAATATAAATATGTACTTATGTAATATTTACCAATTGCTAAATTAGTTTTTTCGTTGCCATGGCTATTTAAACAACAATTCATTTAAATTCGCAGTACATTTCCTATCATATGACAAATTTTTTATTTTGATTTTATTCAAAAGTGGCACAATTTATCGATATTCAATAAGAGTACCTTTTTATGTAGAAAACCCTAAATTTTCAAATTCTAAAATTGAATTTCAAAAATAGAATCACATAAAAATTCTGGGGCTAAAATAACCTGACTCCGTCCCTGTTACATACGCTTCCAAACAAAACAGTCTAAAGTTGTTAATATTTTTAAATCCAGCATAAGAAACTAGGCTAGAATAACCAAATTTTATGTCTTTATCTCAGCACGTTTCGGAAATATTAAGGAAAAACCATCTTCAGGGGAGCCCCTTTAAAAGACCGTAGCGCCCTTGGGGGACGTTTGACAACCTATGTTTATATAAACTTTCCTTCCTATTTTAAGCTCTAGAAACCGCTGGTAAAATATTGCACACTTTTTTCGGGACACCGTATTGGTAATGTTAATCGGTAAATTCTTTGATGTTGTTTAAAAATTTAGTCTTAATCTATTGGAAAACATCTCCAATGCCGACGCGAACGCCAATGCTGAATGAGAAAGATAAAAAGTTCCAGATAAAACATGAATAGCAGTGTTGGACAGCATCACAGCATTTTCAAAAATAAAAATGTTCAAGTTATTAGCATTTCTTACCAAACCAAAAAATGCGTTTGGTGTTACCCCTTTGGAATACAGATATTAAGAGTATTAACTTGGATTTGTTCATAAAGCTGTTTGATTGCATAGTAAAATTCGGTTTAAATTACATACTGTCAAAGCAAATTTTTACTGCACGCCACTGGAGGCAATAACGTTCAAAGAGTGCTTCAATCTTTTCTCGGGCGCAAGAAATTTCACTTTATGCAACAGTATGAGAAAAATACCCATTATCAAGAGAAACCCCATAAAGTCCCCTTTTTAGGGATCAATGTAACACTCTTTTAAAATTCGATAGTTTGAGTTATAGACAAATTTCAAAAATTTGAGAAATTACTTTTATCAGGATAGTCCAAAAATCAAACAGATGCATAGAAAAATTTCCAAGATTAAAAATTGAGAATCTGATATAGCGCCAAACATTGCTGAAAAAAACCTGACTTGTTTTGCTCACCCTGTGTAAGTGGAAAAATAAACTAAATATACCGGTGGAACCCTGTACGTGTTCTCAAAGAGTTAGTCAAGAATCTCCCGAATACCGCAACTCGATATCTTCTTCCGTACCGAAATTATCAAGATTTGAATTTGGCTAAAATTTACCATGTTGCGACGCAACTGTCCACCTGTTTATTTACGTTAATGTTTATGTACTCCGTTTTGGAAAGATTTAGGACAAATTATGGTAATCCAAATTGTTATAAGCAAAAGAGTAAGTAAGTAAGCAAGATCTTTACCGTTTCTAAAGACATTAGTTAAGATGAATGTTTGGTCTCATACTCGTGATCTCTAAATAATTTTGTATCTCCGAATTTTAATTTGAAGCAGTTATTCTAAAATTCATAGTATATTTTTTATTACAGACGTACACTGGTTCGATCTTGGTAGCAGTTAACCCGTACCAAATCCTACCCATCTACACCGCTGATCAGATCAAACTGTATAAAGACAGAAAAATTGGAGAACTGCCACCTCACATTTTCGCAATCGGAGATAATTCTTATAGTCATATGCGCAGGTAAGACATTGGTCATCTTTAGATGTAGAAACGAGGGAGAGAGATAGATACAATTTTTTTACTTCCTACGCGACTGGTGAGGAAATACTGTAGTCGGCAAAAATTCCTTTGTTCTGTCGTCTGTCTGTCTGTTCATCCGCTAATCGTTGATTCTGCTATAATTTGGAAAATACGGCAGAGCTATTATGCAAAAAACCTATACATAAACAAATACATTTTTGGAAAATATATTTATGGCATGTTATACATGAGGGCACATTTCTAAAAATTTTACAATTATACAGGGTATCCCAATTTTGACCTACGTATCAAAATTGTGATTTTTTAAATGGAATGCCTCAAATTTCATTGCATATTTGGATAAACCAATTCAAAAGAAGAAGATTGATATGACATACTATGGGGTTTTGGTAATTAGCTACTGAGTGTAAGGTGTTTTGTCTAGAAAAAAAACCCACTTCGGTAACCCCTCAATCCGCCATTTTGAAATTTGCAGTGCTGAATTTTGTATCAAAAAAGACTTGCACACCTCAGCTTTGATCTTATTTGCTACTTTTTCGAATTTTAATTTTGGCTCATACAGTGTGGTCGAAAACGCGAATTGTATATTGTTGTATATTTGTACAAGTTTGGATTCAATTTCTTATAAGCTTTTTTTTGTAAGGTTTTATTCAGATAAAGCCTCTAGATTTTTAGTTATTAAGCTTTTAATAGAACAACACACCAAAATTAAGGTAAAAAATCACATCATCCATGGAAACAAAAGACAAACAGTGGCCTAGTTCCATATTGCCACTAAGAGTACAGATTTGACGTAAAAACTAATAACAATCAGAACAGTATAAATCAGCTTCAAGCGTAATAGAGAAAAACAACTATAACAACAACATAAACAAACAACTATCACTACTCAAGACCTAGTCTACAAAAACTGCTCGAAAATATCTCCACCATGTTGTATACACAGCCGTAGTCTTTGGATAAATGACCGTTGCACATCCCTCAGTATGTGTTCCCCTATGTTCAGAAAAGCATCCTTAATCCTTTCCTTCATATTTTCCGGGTAGATGGTGGATATCTATAAACCTCTTGCTTAACGTAGCCCCATAGAAAGGAGCCCATCAGTGTCATAACTGGTGATCTAGGATGCCAAGATATAGGACCATCACGACCGATCCAACGATTGTTACTCCAGGTGTCCAAATAGTTACGCACACGATTATGATAATGCCTCCAAAATCAAAGGCAAATGCTCGATCAAAAAATTCAAGTATTCTGTACCTGTTAATCTGTTGCCGAAAAAGAAAGGCCCGATAACTTGTGTGCCAATAACTCCTCCCCAAACATTCAAGCTATATTTATTTTGGAAATCTATTTGTCTAACCCAGTAAGGGTTTTCCGTCGCATAATAGTGTGTTATGCCTGCTGACAACACCTATGCTGTTAAAAGTTGCCTCATCGCTAAAAAGAGCCTTATCCAGGAAATTAGTGTCTTCACTCACTTTATTTAGCATTATTCTCCTAAACTCGATTCGAGCTGCGAAATAATGAGGACGAAGGCCTTGATGCAAGCTAGGTGATATCGATGGCAACTATGCTTGAGAATAATCCTTTGGACAGAAGTTCTGCATATATCAGTTTCTGCTCCAATTTGCCGTGCACTTAAACGGAGATTTTCCTGCAACTTTAATAGAACCTCCAACTTATGCGCCTCATGGTGACACTTGGATTATTTTTTACTATATTCCACTGCTCCACTTGATTCAAAACGTTCTCGTAGTGTGGAAAATGTTTCTGGCCTTGGATTTCGCATATTAGGGTACCGTTGCTTATAAATGCGGGATGCTAGGAAACTATTTCTTTGGGCTTCGCCCAAAACGAACACCAATTTCACCATTTCTCCTTTAGAAAAATTCATTTTCAAACACGTTTTTATTATAATGCTCACAAAGGTAATTTTGACAGTTTGTAACTAATCAACAATTTATTTGTTTCCAAGGATTATGCGATATTTTAAGGAATTAAGCCGTTCCATAAAAGACGTGCTAATAACCGAAAAAATAGCCGTAAAAACCCTTATGTATCTAGTGTCAAACAAAAAGCTTATAAAAAATTGAATCCAAACTTGCACAAATACACAGAGTGATGCATTTGAAATTTTTGAGAAAAACTACAATTTGCGTTGACCCTGTATGAGCAAAAATTAAAATTCTAAAAAGTAACAAATGAGATAAAGGCTGAGGTGTGTAAGTTTTTTTGATACGAAATTCAGCACTCCAAATTTAAAAATGACAGACTGAGGAGTTACCGAATTGGTGGGTTTTTCTACCCAAAACACCTTATATCTCAGTAGCTAATTACCAAAACTCCATAGTATATCAATTTTCTTGTTTTGAATTGGTGTATCCAAATATGCAATAAAATTTGAGGCATTCTATTTGAAAAATCACAACTTTGATATGTAGGTCGAAATTGGGACACCCTGTATAATGGCCAATATTTTAGAAATGTCATAAAAAACCTACATAGTGTCACTTTTCAAGTTATAGCCCTGCCTGTCGGGTTTTGATGAATTTTTCACACTCGGTTACTAATACTCGTATATGCCAAGGACTAAAAAGCTTAATGCCTTTTGAAAATCGATCCAGTGGTGGCGGAGCTACGAATAAAAAAATGGAAGAGGGTAAAAAACCCTCAAACGTTGTTTTTTGACCTTTCAGAGGGTTGTGGGGGTGGGGGACGGTATATCTCGATTTTTTTACATTGGAGTGCTTATACGCATTCAGCCGCGGTAATTCTACGCTCCTATTAGATATATTTTACTCATCATACATTTACCCTTAAAACTGAATACAGAAATATTTCCAACCCTCGCGTGTCTATAATGCGTGTTTAGCGGCCCAGCCGATGTATGTGAACCCCAGTCGGCCTGCGCTGCTCAACTGGTGTCGGTCGAATGTTCTAGCATCATATTTCCAACAATAAAAAAACGAGTACACACCAAATTTTATAAAAACGGGTGATCTGGTTCTAATCTTGTCAGTTGATACAAACTACTCAAAGTTACAACGAAACCAAGAAAGGTGCAAACTCCCCAGCACAATTCAAAAACCATAACCTGCAGCCAGTGATCAAACCAAACATTGATTTGGTGAAACAACGGACCTATAATCCCCAACTAGATTTTACCCTTGAACAAGTTTTGTCCACTGTGCATGCTCAGTCGTTTTCAAACCGTTGGAAAATGTTATGCTAGAACATTATTATAGTTTTGGTCCTGTGCGCACGCAGAGATTTGACTCAGGGAATAGGGATGGACGAGAGATAACTTTGTGTAAAAACGTACCCGAACCCATTAGTTTTTAAGGAGCAAGAGATAGCATATTCTCTCAGGACGGCAAATCCTAAAGAACCCAAAAATTGTACAGTTAACTGGAATTTTTTTGAATAATATGACGCAGCTGTTATATGAGTCGTTTTGAAATAGGTGGTAGACCGTATGTGTCTGAACTATTTTCAAATTTTGATGTCTTGTATTGTACTCATGATAAACATTAATATTTGGAAACAAGTTTTCATACTTCTTAACATATTCCTATGAATTTAAAATTCCTTGCAGTTCGCAAGTAGCTTTAAATTAATCAGATGATTCTTTGTTGGCCCACAAATACTATTTCAATTTCACACGATTTCTCCCATACAATAATGTTGTGATATATGTGGCTATTGGCCATCAGTTCATAATATACCCTATATTTCACGAATATCCATCACGCTTTGACATCTACTGAGGTGAACAGCTGATCAGCAAGTGACACTTTTGTGTTAGTCTGTGACGTTGGCAATAATGAATCGGGTGTAAATCTAGTAAAACTTGTTTGTAACGTTTTGTTTTTTGTATGCAAATTAAAGAGGTGTTAGCAAGTACAAAATGAATCTGTAGCGTACAAAAAAACAAACAGAATTCGGCTCTGATTGCCTGACGTTGACGGATCCGTCAGAATTATGTGTCATGTGCCGATATGGGGAATTCTGAGATACTACTAGATAATCAGCCGTCATTCTACTGTGATGGATATTCGTGAAATAGGGTATAGACGGCCATTTTCAAGATTAGCAGGGAACCTTACTATTTTTAGAAACGTTGTGTGTGTTTCTTCCCTTGATTCAATTGAATGAAACGTCTATTTCCACAATAAAGATTACCTTATAATTTTTTAATTGAAATTTACAACCACAATTCAAATTTTGTGTACTTAACGTAGATAATAAAACTATAAAGTTCGCGATGTTTACTAAGTATGGTTATCATTGTTTGATTAGACAGAACTGGGATAATTCACTTATACGGAAATGTGCGGTGCATAACTGTACGATCTTTTTTTACAAATGAGACATTTTACTTCCCATGCTACTGTCGAAGAGGTATTGTCATTGCAAAAAAAATCGAAAATGATATACTATGTTTTTTTAATGTTATACGGCATGTACATCGCGAAAAACTATACTATACCACTCATTTGTGCCTGTCTGTCCGCGAATCCTTGGTCCGTCTACAAATTGGAAAGACGGCTCTGACTTGGATGAAATTTTCAGTACAAGGTTACTATTATGCCACTGACGAAGAAGCTTTGTAGTTTCTGAAAATCGGTCTTCGTTTTTGATGTTTCTAGGGCTCATGCTCATTATCAGGAAAAAATAATAGGCGTTAAAAATTTGGGATTGAGGGAGGGTATATATTTTGATCTTAGTAAATTCATAAGCTCCCAACCGCAGTAATTCTGCTGCTATAATGAGAAATGGTTTTGATATGAGTCTCTGCATCTGCTCTCTGGATTCACCAGCGAGCGCACCGGTCTCAGTATCTGTCCTGCCATTACTGCCGCGCTACCGCGACGTATTGTTGGTCATGGGGGAGGGGCGACATTGCCACTTGGACGGTACTATCGGCAGGGCAGGGAAAAAACGTCTCTGGACTAATTGTATGGACCTGTTTGACTGACTTGATTTGTTTAACATCTCTGTTACATATGGTCAAAACTATTTCCTCAGAGGGTCTAACTTGTGTTTAACATAATCCTTATTGAACTGATGACGACGTTTCGTGGGAAGTGCAGAGTCAACCTATTTAAAAATAAAGAGTCCAGCGTACTTAATGAATAAGTATAACGTTAAAGGTTAAGTCCTACAGTTCCGCTCTCGGGCTTTTTTATATCCTAGGACGATAAAGTAACTTTAGCGCCCGCGATCCTCAAATTCACCTATGCTCATTGACCACGAGAGCTATCCATATTTGTTTGTTGCTAGGCAACAGCTTCAAAAACTGCCAACTTGTTACGAGTGTATAAGGCGGTCAAATTCATTTATTTTTATAACCGCTCTATTTTCACGTTACTGGTCATAAATGGTCACTTAACGATCTAGATACATAAATAACTATTAATTTTTCTATATTTCCAGGTATGGTCAGGACCAATGTATAGTAATCTCTGGAGAATCTGGTGCTGGGAAAACAGAAAGTACAAAGCTAATCTTGCAATATTTAGCTGCTATAAGTGGCAAGCATAGCTGGATAGAACAGCAAATTCTGGAAGCCAATCCTATTTTAGAAGCATTCGGTAATGCCAAGACTGTCAGAAATGATAATAGTTCAAGGTCAGTATTGAAAACCAGGTATCGAACTTGGCAGGAAGATCTTTAAGGCATTTTTTTATTTCCATTGCTAAAACATAAAATAACGGCGTCTATCTATACATATATATTTTGGTTTTTTTTGTCATCCTCAGAGCTATATCTCGAACAATTTTGAGTAATAGTAATTTTACTTTAAGTGGAACATGTCCAAAATACTAAGTATGTAATCAATGCTTTAGTGTGTTTTCTCGTATATAATAATTATGTAATTTTAGATAATTTTTGATTGACGCAGTTTGAGATAAGAAAATTATTTTATAACTTCAGCAAATTGCCGTTTAATTATTTGTTTTGGTAGCCGGTAGAATTTTTCATTGTCTGTCAATACACTACGTGACAAAAGTGAGAAAATAACCTTGACTTGTTGTCTAGATATATACCTAATAAATTAAAGAGAAATATCGTACTGCAAAATAATAAGGAATTTGACTAAAAAATGTATTTTTAGGTTTGGCAAATACATCGACATCCACTTCAGCCCAACCGGGGTCATAGAAGGTGCCAAGATAGAGCAGTATTTGCTAGAGAAAAGCAGAATAGTTTCCCAAAATCCTGATGAAAGGAACTATCATGTTTTCTACTGTCTCTTAGCCGGTTTAGGAAAAGAAGATAAGAAAAAATTGGAGTTAACTGATGCTAGTCAATACAGATACCTTACTGGGGTGAGGAACTCGACATTTACGATGTTTTGAAGTGCTTACCAAATATCTATTTCTTATGTTCTGAAAATCAAGACATGTTTAATTCCTACGGAAGTATCCTTTCTGATTTTAAATTTAATATTTTTTTATTTTCGCAGGGTGGATGTATAACCTGTGAGGGTAGGGATGACACAGCCGAATTTGCGGATATCAAGAGTGCTATGAAAGTCCTTCTGTTTAGTGACCAGGAAATCTGGGAGATCATGAAACTGTTGGCGGCCATATTGCACATTGGAAACATCCGATACAAAGCCACCGTTGTTGATAATTTGGACGCCACAGAGATTCCAGACCACACTAACGTCCACAGGTATGCGTTGTTAAAAAAATTGCCCAAATTCTGTAAATTCTCCAAACTATCCAAATTCTCTAAAGATTTGTCCAAGTTCACTGTATTTTTCATATATTTTAGATACTCCAAATTCTCATAATTTTCTAAACTTTCCAAATTGTTCGATTTCTCCAAATTTGCCAAATCCTTCGAACTCTCCAAATTTTCCATGTTCTCCAAAATTTCCAAATTTTCGATATCCCTCAAATTTTCGAAATTCTTCAGATTCTTCCAATTTTTCATGTACTTCAAATTTGCCATATTCTCCAAATTTTCCATATTTTCTTTGTTTTCCAAATTCCTCAAAATCTCCAAATTTCCCATATTCTCAAAATTTTGCAAATTCTCTAAACTCTTCAAATTATTCATATTCTTTAAATTTTCTAAATTCTCTGAATTTTCCAAATTTTCTATACTCTCCAAATTTTACATATTCTCCAAATTCTCCAAAATTTCCAAACTCTCCAGATTCACCGAATTCTTCTAATTCTCCGAGTTCTTCATATTCTCCAAATTCTCCGAATTCTCAAATTTTGTCAATTTCATTAAAATTCCCTTTTCCATTATTTTCCAAATTCTTCAAGTTCTTCAAATTCTGCAAATCCTCCAAACGCATCCAATTCTCAAAATTCTACAGTTTTCCGAAAACCTATATATTCTCCAAACATCTCAAATTCTAAAGATTCTCCAAATTTTCAAGATCCTCCAAATTCCCCGATTCCTTCAAATCCTCCAAGTTCTACAATCTCTAATTTCTCTAAAACCCCCGGATTCTACAAATTCCCCAATATCTCCAAATTCTCTAATTTCCCCAAAGTCTCCATATTCTCTAAATCACATATTTCTTTTACAGGGTAGCCAATCTGCTTGGTGTCCCCATCCAGCTTTTGATAAACGCTTTGACTCGAAAAACATTGTTCGCTCACGGTGAGACTGTCGTTTCCACATTGTCCAGGGATCAGAGCGTTGATGTCAGAGATGCCTTCGTAAAAGGCATCTACGGGAGGATGTTTGTGCATATAGTCAGAAAGATCAACAAAGCCATTCATCGACCAAAAGAGAGGCAACGAACTACGATAGGTATAGATTTGCATTTCGTCCAAAGTAATACTTTAGTTCGACTGACACATTTTTTGTAGGCGTGTTGGACATCTTCGGCTTCGAGAATTTCGACCACAACAGCTTCGAGCAGTTCTGCATCAACTTCGCCAACGAAAATCTGCAACAGTTCTTTGTCCAGCACATCTTCAAATTAGAACAAGAGGAGTACAACGTCGAAGGCATCAACTGGCAGCACATTGAGTTTGTTGATAATCAAGACGCCTTGGATCTAATCGCCATCAAACAGCTGAACATCATCGCCTTAATCGATGAGGAGAGCAAGTTTCCTAAGGGTACTGATCATACTATGCTCGCAAAATTGCATAAGCAGCATGGGGCGCATAGGAACTACCTTAAGCCAAGGTGAGAGCAAGATTCTCAAAGTACCTAATCTTCCCAAACGTCCTAAAGTTCCTGATGAAATTTCTAAAATTACTCAAATTCCTAAAATTCCTAAACTTCTGAAATTCCTAAAATACCTAAAAATCCTAAAATTCCAAAATTCCTATGATTACTAAGATTCCTAAAATTGCTAATATTCCCAAACTTCTTAAGATTCCTACAATTCCAAAAATTACCAAATTTCTAAAAATTCTCAAGGGTCCGAAAATTCCTAAAATTCCTGATATTTCTGAAACACCTAGAATTCCTATAATTCTTAAAATTTCTAAAATTCTTAGAACTCCTAAGATTACTAATATTTCTTATATCCTAAAATCCGTAAAATTCCTAAAATTCTCAAGTGTCTAAAGATAGTAGAGTTCCTAATATTCCTATAATACCGAAAATTCCTAAGATTACTAAGATTTCTATGATTCCTAAAATTGCTAAAATTCCTAAGATTCCTACTATTCCCAAAAATCTGAAAACTCTTAAAGGTCCGAAAATTCCTAAAATTTCTGATATTTCTAAAATACCTAGAATTCCTATAATTCTCAAACTTTCTGAAACTCCTAAAATTACTAATATTTCTTATATCCTTAAATTCATAAAATTCCTAACATTCCTAAAATTCTCAAGTGTCTAAAGTTCGTAGAGTTCGTAAATTTCCTAAAGTTCATAAAATCCCTAAAGTTCATAAAATTCATGAAATTCTTAAAATTCCTGAAATTCTCAAACATCATAAAATTAATAAAGTTCCTATAATTCCTGCAATTCCTAAAATACCTAAAATTCCTAAACTTCCTAATATGAATTACTAAGATTCCTAAAATTGCTAAAATACCCAAAATTACCAAACTTCCTAGGATTCCTGCAATTCCAAAAATTCACAAAATTCTAAAAATTCCCAAGGGTCCGAAGATTCATAAAATTCTCATATTTCTAAAATACCTAGAATTCCTATAATACTTAAAATTTCTAAAATACTAATATTTCTTATTCTAAAAATCATAAAAAAAATCTCAAGTGTCTAATGTTCATAGAGTTCCTAAGTTTCCTAAAATACCTAAAATTCCTAAGATTCATGAAATTCTTAAGATTCCTAAAATTCCTAAGATTATTAAGATTCCTAAAATTGCTAAAATACCCAAAATTCCCAAACTTACTAAGATTCCTACAATTCCAAATATTTCCAAAATTCTAAACATTTCCAAGAATCCGAAGATTCCTAAAATTCCTGATATTTCTAAAATACCTAGAATTCCTATAATTCTTGAAATTTCAAAAATTCTTAGAATTCTTAAAATTAATAATATTTCTTGTATCCTAAAATTCATAATGTTCCTAAAATTCTCAAGTGTCTAAAGTTCGTAGAGTTCCTAAATTGCCCAAAGTTTCCAAAGTTGCTAGACTGTCTTGTTCCTGAAGGTCCTAGATTTCCCAAGGTTCGCAAATAAATTCGTTGTATTTTCAGTCGCTCCTATTTCCCTTCCTACTTCGCTTTTTCGGCGTAGCCTCTTTGTTTTGATGCCAGTATTTTTCTCTCCCTGAGGGCCGTATCGTCAGTCATTCCTACAATTGTAGGACGCCTTTATGGCCTGCTTGACTCATAGTCTCTCCTCTCTTTCAGAAAGGAGCTCTATTTTGAGGTTATCTTACAAATATCTATTTGCATCAAATTGTTAACGCTTTTAGTTTTTATCATATATTTTATCAGCCTGAAATTTTCTATACTTCAAAAAGAAAACATGACTAGGGGAGCGCTGACGCTGACTCGGAACAGTAGTAATCTAGAAATACGCCAGCCTTTCTGAAGGAGAGAAAATAGTATGAAATTCAAGGAGGCCTTAAAGGCGTCCTACAATTGTAGGAACGACTGCAGAAATAAATAAGAGAAAAAGCTGAAAAACAAACAGACAGTGTGGCCAAACATGCATCCTTAGGTAAATAGAAGCATCTGAAAATATGACCCCTTTGGAATACAATCCAAATATTTACTTTTCTACCAATGTACTTGTCTGGCAACCTCTTTGGGGATGTTTTTGCACCACTCTAAGTCCTTATTTCTCACTTAGATCCGACATAAATACCAGCTTCGGCCTGAACCATTTCGCCGGCGTCGTCTTCTACGACACTCGCGGTTTTCTGGAGAAGAACAGAGACACCTTCAGCGCGGACCTTCTGCATCTGATCACCATCAGCACCAACAAGTTCCTGCAGCAGATCTTCGCCGAAGACATCGGAATGGGCTCGGAGACCAGGAAAAGGGCACCCACGCTGTCCACGCAGTTCAAGAAAAGTCTGGACTTGCTGATGCGGACGCTGTCGAACTGTCAGCCGTTTTTCATTAGGTGTATCAAGCCCAATGAGTTTAAGAAGCCTAGTATGTTTGACAGGACGTTGTGTTGTAGGCAACTGAGGTAAGAGGCTAAGAGTATAAATATTTAAAGGGTGGACTAGAGAATTTTTGAAAGATGCCTTCCTTCAAACTCTAAAGTTTCGCAATTGGTCCATTAAATATCTTTGCATCCACTCTGAAAAATATTTTGATTCATTTTTTGCATAATCTTATTCAAAAAGGAATCTACATGTTGCTAGGCCCAAAATTGACTCAAGAATTGTTTCAAGAATTTTTTAACGAATTTAGAATACAACGAAAATTTTAGTTCTGCCCAAGTTCATAAGCATTCTTGAAACATCGATTCACATAACTCTAAAACATGTCATGCGGCGATATTATTTTAAACCTTTGTTTTTACTTCCCACGCCTACTATGTAGTATGTTTTTTGGATGTTATATGACATATGCATCACGAAGAACCATGTCACTAATTTCCGCCGATCTGATCGTCTGTCAGTATCTCCGCTTATGTTATAACCGCCTATAACTTGACAAGTACCTCTTGAATTTCGATGATTTCTTACTCGTTGTATCTACTATGCCAAAGACGCAAAAGCTTTATAGCAAAAGGCTAAACACGCAAAGAAATCACACAAACTTCGTTTTACACGTTTCAGACGATCCTGATCATTTTTTAAAAGGTTTTGCATTGCTTTGAAATTAGTCGGTTATGGGTTGCAGGAGGTAGGGGAGGATATATCTCAATTTTTTGACGTTGGTGTATTCATTTGTCTCCAACCCCAGTAATTCTACGCATATACGAGCCTCTTCCCACTTCAGTTGGCCCAACTATTGAAATCTTAGTCTTTTTCTTATCAAACACAAATAATAAAAATGTAGCAGGGTGTTATAGGTTTAAAATATTAACAATGAATATTTTGATAATATATAGTAGAAAACAACAACTTTATTACTCGCTAATCAAATTTGCAGCATAAAAATAACACATGTTGCAATTACAGCATATCAACCTATTTTCATTTCAATGCAAAATAAATCTATAACGCATAGGTGGCTATGAAAAATAAAAGCCATTACAATTGTTTTTATTAATCACAGCTGTCAGAATACGTTTAAAATAGTTTTGGCTAGTTAAGGTTTTCAAAATAGGTAGAGGAAAGGTTATTAGTGAGAAAATTCGGTTACTGATAATTAAATTTTTTAATTCTGGAAAATCAAACTCAGAAATTGCAACTTTGCTAGACTTATCGCGGTACAGTGTGAGAAATATTGTTAGCAGATATAACGTAACTGGTTCAGTTAATATTAAGCCACGATATGTGAAAAAAATGCCGACCGAAGAGCATTAAGATGAATAATCGTGAAAAACAGGAGTGCCAATTATTTACAATTAAGTGCTCTGTGGAGTGACGCTGTTGGAAGGAGAATTTCAAGATCCACAAGTCATAGAGAGGCCCACAAACTGAGATTTAGCACTTGCAAGGTAAGTTTTCTTATAAAAAAAAATGAAGTAAAAACCCTAAAGTTGCACAACTTGTTTATAGGCCAAATAAAAGCCACTATTAACTCCACTGCAAAAGAAAAATCGGCTTAGATGGGCTAAAGAACATAGACAATGGACACCTCAACAATGGTGTGCAATACAATGGAGTGATGAGGCCCGACTCGAAGTTTGTGTTTGTAACAGTCGCAGTAGAGTTATTCGCAAAAAAAATGAAGCATTCCATGTTGAATGTCTGAAGAGAAAAGTGAAATTTCCAGCATCCATTATGGTCTGGGGCAGTATGTCATCAAAAGGAGTAGGAAAACTTAATTTTATTGATGGAACTGTGGATACAAACAAATATTTGGCAATTTTAGAAGAATCGCTTTTACCAGTGATGGAAGAATGTTTGACATCCGGTCAAGATTTTGTGTTTCAGCAAGATCGTGCAGCGTGCTCTACCTCAAAAAAGGCTATAAAATGGATGGAAGAAAATAATGTACCACTTTTGAAATGGGTTTCTAACAGTCGAGATATGTCACCTATTGAAACTTTGCGCCACGAGATGAAAAAGGTTCTACGAACTGAGACAAAAGCTTTAAGAAATATGGGATTGTTTTACACCAAATTTTTGCCAAAACTTGGTTAACACTATGCCCCAAAGAATTTCAGCCGTAATAAAAAATAAAGGTGATGTTACCCAATGGTAATCTTTTAATTTTTGCTTTGTTAACTTCGCGCATTTATTCGCACATTGTTTATTTGTTCAGATGTTCTATTAGTTAAGGTCTAAGTGATTTCAAATATGTATTTTTTACGACTAGAGTATATCTAAAATATTTTTGAGAAAATAAATTGTTTTAGAAGTAAATAGTTTCATGTTATATATATATAGTTATAAAGGCATATTTTGGTACAAATCTTGAAGTGGTCCAACTGAAGTGGGAAGGGGCTCGTATTAGGCATATTTCATTCATCATACATGTTTCTATGCATTTACCCTTAAAAATTATAATTATCTCTTAAAATGCTTTTGAATTTTGTCATTGGATGTAGTTTAAAGAATATTTATAAACTATTGAAACATAAAAATTTTTATCACGTTTTTCTAATTCGAATATGGCATATTTTGCACTTGTTCAAAACCATCAAAAAACCTAAGATAAATTTGAATGGAACAAAAAGCAATTTGTCGGTTTTTGCTTAAGAAAATTTATTTAAACAGAAGATTTGTTGAATGGGGTTCTTGGTAAATTAGATTGTATAAGAAAAACGTGATATTAAACTAGTTTCCCAGCAGATGCGGATATACTTTCTGGACTATTTAAATTTCTAAATTTTGTAAACTTGAAATTTCCGATTTTGTCTCCCGTCAACGAGATTACAAGCTCTATAAAGTACAAAAAAAAAGACTTTTGCAAATATGTAGTGGATACAAACGGGTAAAAAATCATTGGGCTGATCAGTTTGTGCATCGATGATGGCGTGGAAATAAGAGGTTGCGTAAGTCTGGTCGCATATACGTTCCGCTTGACGCAAATATGAATAAAATAGTGATTCTGCATTTTTCGGCTTGGTAGCCCTGCATGTCCGTTAGTGCATTATTGGAAATTGAGCCTCATGAGTTCTGGGATTATGGTAGTTAATAGAAAATTCAAAATTCTGACAAAAATATACTCGAGAGAAAAAACCTTTTCGTGGGCGCTTTTAACGCTGTCAAAATATGATAAAATTACTTATGGAGAAAATTGGTTTCATTTGATTGAAAGGAGATGGTAAGTAGTAAGCATCATAATTATCTAACCGTAAGACTTAAACATAAACATACCATACTACTTCATATTTTTGGCACTTTTTGTTGTAACTTAGCATGATGGCTTTATCTTATTTTAGTCATTTACAGAATGCTTCCCAAACATGGGGCAAGAACTCAATGGGTTACTCTTGGGACTATTCTGAAAGTATTGTATTTGATCTCCTCGATTCCAGTGAAAGAGGCCCCTGGGGAAAACGTCGTTCATCCAAAGATCCATTGTTGCTGTTTTAAAAATTTGTCACTTTTGAGTTACGCTATGTTAGAACTTAGGTTGATGATGTAATCCAACGAAAACTATTAACTTTTAATTACCACAGACGGACTATCCATAAACGCAATATATAGTATTGCTATTTTTTTACACCTTTGTATAATAATGACCTAAAATTAATATTTATAGAAATTGGAACGTGCCTCGTTAGTGTTGACTGTTCCATCTTCATCAAAATAATGCAACCTACGGTTGTTCCAAGAAATTTATTCTTGTTTGATCTCGATAATAAAATCTTTTTTAAGTAAAAATAACATGGTTTCTCTGGCCCCTGATGACGGATCTGTTATAAGAATCCCGAATTTCCAATACGGGGGAACCAGTATTCGGAAACGGTCCATAATTTATAAAACTGTACCAAAATAATGTGGCTGTTTCAACTCCAGCCCTCCAAAAAATTGACACGAAATCCGTTTTCTACGCACCCGATTTATCCCAAAGACTGTTCGAACTTTCTTTTTTTTTTTTAATGCAACGACGTCAGATTTTAAAGTTTCTCTAAATGAATTTCCAGATACTCGGGAATGATGGAAACCATACGTATCAGACGAGCAGGTTACCCCATAAGACACACCTTCGCAGAGTTTGTGGAAAGGTACCGTTTCCTGATATCCGGAGTGCCCCCAGCTCATAAGACGGAATGCCGAGCCGCTACACAAAAAATATGCGCTATGGTCTTGGGAAAGTCAGACTATCAACTTGGTCACAACAAAGTGTTCCTGAAAGATGCTCATGACCTGTTTTTGGAGCAGGAGAGGGATAGAGTGCTGACTAGGAAAATATTGATACTGCAAAGGTAAGTTGACTAGTGATCTTTATGTGCAATTAATATCGACAGCTACAGTAAAAATAAATAATTTGCCATTTATGTTTTTCGTATACCCAATGTGATAAATTCGACCCTCACCATTGTGATCTCGGAAAAGGTAAGAGATACTAAATCGGGGCGGAAATTTCCACATTTAGATAACTAAGGGTCGTAAACACAGTCATTGCTATTTGCCTTCCTATTAAGAAGGCCTCTTTTCCTTCCAGTTTTTTCTCTCCTTGGGGAAGCAACACGCAAGATCCTTCTTGGCTTTCTAAATGAGATAAAAAATTGGAAGGAAAACAGGGAGAGCATAGCCAACAAAGCATTCTTTGAAGTAGGAAGGTAAATTGTAACGATTGTGCATAGGTACGCCCCTAAGAAAATGGCACAATTTTACCCAAAAAATTGTCTTTACTTGTCGTATTGTCACTTTTTCTCCTCCACAAGGTGGTATAATAAGAGTATCGATATGACGTATAGTCCTTATTTGTCCTAATTTTTCACCTTCATTTTACTTCCCACGCCTACTGGCGGGGAAGTATTGTTATCGCAAAAATTTTCGAAAATAATGTATTGTGCTTTTTGTGTTATATTGCATGTACATCACGAAAAACTGTCAGCCATCTCCGTCGGTCTGTCTGTCTGTCCGCTTATCTTGAGCCTATAGCTTGAGAAGTACCGTTCGGATTTCGATGAAACTCTTACACAATGCTACTACTATGCCAAGGTCGGAAAAGCTTTGTAATATTTGAAAATTGGTCCAGTGGAGGTGGAGAGTAAAGCCAAAAAAATAAAAATCTCTCAAATTCCGTTTTTTGACGGGAACATTTTTGTAGGAGATAAAAATTGGGCTTGGAGGTTGCAGGGAGTGAGGGAGAGTATATCTCAATTTTTTTATATTATTATATTTACACTATTTACCCCAGTAATTCTACGCACATATTAGGCATATTTCACTCATCATAGATGTGCCCTGACATTTACGGGGATGGACAAGCGTCGTCGTCGGTGGACGTACGTTTCTCTCAGCAATCGCTTCCGCACTGCGGTCGTGCTGTAGGCTGGGCCGTGTGCACTGTGCATGGTGCAGGTTAATATCGTCATTCACGCGGGATCGCAAAGATCATCATGTGCGTCTACATCAATTCCTCTCAGGGGGATGAGGAACGTCATTTAATTTTTTTTTATACATAGTCGTTGCTAAGTTTTTTCTCATTAGGGCTAACTTGTGTCAAATATAATCCTTTACCAGCTGATGACAGCGTAGAGTGGATATAGTTTTTAATTCAGACTGAAAACATGTCATAGGTTAACAGTGCTAATATTTTCATAGTTGACCTTGAGAATGACAGCATGTTTATTCGATTACCTCACCATTTGAGGATTGCATTAGTTTTTTAATAGCTTTTTTAAAGGACCTTTATAGATTATATAATATGTCACCTTAGACGTAGACTACTATGTAGAAAACAGTTGTGTGCGTCGGTTTAGATGTAGCGGATATGAAATATATTTAGCATCCTGCAACGTCATTAAAGCTTTTTCTCCTCTAAAATGTTTCTCCCAGTTTCTTAAATCATACTTTTTACAATATTTTCATTAACACGAACGAGTTATCATTATCGTCTGCTTTATTTGATGAATTACGAGTTAGAGCAATTATAGACGGATTACTTTTTTATATATTGGAAATAGGAACTCTTTACCTGTGCCCAAGACCCACTTAGAAAATACTGTTTTATTTTTTATAAATTTACAATATTAGTGTATGTCTGTTTGTTTGTTCGTTTCAGATTTATTCAGCATTAATGCTACTATGTCCATAATATCCATATTACACAGGATATCACAAAATATATTATGTCTTCAAGACTACATATTTTTATACAAAATGGCATTACCTTGAATTCAGGTTTTCCATGACATATGTTTTCAATTTCCCTTTGAACATTTTCAGAGTGACACACATCTTGATATCATTACTTAATTCATTAAATTCATACAATCCCTTTTGAAATACTGACTTGCTCGTTATATTGCTACTGCAGTTTTGTAAATGAAAGTCTATACTTCCTCTAGTAGAATAATTGTGGCACTCATTGTTCAATACAATAAAATTTTCTAAGTGATTAGGTAGAAGATGATTTTTTAACTTGAATATGAAAATTAAAACCAAGTAGGCTATGAAATTTTTGATATTTAACCATTGTAGTTCTTTCAGCATAAAATTTATTCTAGTATATTTATTTTTATTTAAGATGATTCACATAGCTTTATTTTGTAATATTTGTAATTTTGAAAATACAGTTTCATTTGCAGTGAACAAAATAATCGAACAATATATCAAATGAAGAAGAATGATAGTGTTGTACACAATTTTTTTAGGATAAATGCTTAGGCTATGCGAAATTCTATAAAAGTAATTTATTTTCTTGGATATGTTCGAAATAATATATTCATAGTGCCCTTCAAATTTTAATTTACTGTCTACGTATATGCCCAAATATTTAAATGATTCGATTGACACAATTTTTTCATGATTAATTGTAAGATTTATCGTATTTTGATCTAAAGATTTTCCTATTAGCATACGTATATTTTGTTTGGTTGTGTTTAGTTTAAGTTTATTTACATTTAACCAATTTATTACGTTTTTCGTATCATTATTTAATAGCTCTATTGCAGTTTCAATGTCTTTATTTGATATATATATATATATATTAATGTATCATCAGCAAATAGTTGAATTTTGTAGTGTTGTAAAATATCAGGAATATCGTTAATATATAAAATGTCGTATTATATATTTTTTAAATTTGAATTAATAAATCTATTCACCTGTGCAAAAACTCAATGTGGCATCCATAAGGAAAAAGAAAAATTGTTACAACGATTTAGAGAAAGCGACAAAACGTCATATTCAAATTCTAATTATCCCACCTTATAGTGACATTGTTAATGTGATTTTGGAAAACCTTTTCGTTTACCCCAGGAAACACTCTGAATTACGATTCTTTCTACCATTTATTAGTTATCTAAATGCGCAGGTTTTCCTCCATTCAACTGGTTTGCTATCTCTTACCGTTTCAGACATCCCAGTGGTGAGAGTCGAAAGTCTTCTATAAAATTGATTCTCTTTGCAGATCTATCAGAGGTTGGGTGTACCGCAGAAGGTATCTAAGACTCAGAGCTGCCACAATCTCGATCCAAAGGTTCTGGAAAGGCTATATACAAAGACAACGGTATAAGAAGATGCGAGTTGGATATATGCGACTTCAAGCCTTGATACGTGCCAGAATTTTGTCTCATAGATTCCAGCACTTACGAGGACACATTGTTGGACTTCAGGCACACGCTAGAGGTAAGATTTTGTTCACACATATTAATTGTAACTGCTTCAGTGAAAGTCAGACTCCATCTATTATGAAGACTTCATTTAGTCCTCCAATGTTACTGCAAAGTTCGTGGTGATATTTATTTCTTGAAAGTAAAAAACAAGTTTTTTCTAAATTTGTTTAACATATTCCAGGTTATTTGGTGAGGAGAGAGTATGGACATAAAATGTGGGCGATAATCAAGATACAGTCGCATGTGAGAAGAATGATCGCTCAAAAGAAATTTAGAAAGATCAAGTTCGAGCAGAAGCATCAAATCGAAGCGCTTAGATTGAAGAAAAAGGAGGAGAGAGAATTGAAAGATGCTGGAAACAAAAGAGCTAAGGAAATTGCGGAACAACATTATAGGTATAAATTTAACTGTTTCTTTAGATATAATATATGATAGAATTCGCTTTATTTGGAAGCTATTTTTTCATTGATGGGAACCGTTCTATGTTACTGTTATTAGAAATTTTAGAATATGTTTTGTAAGTTCTTACAATAACAATGACTAATGATGTGATTTTTCAGGGAACGTATTTATCAACTGGAAAGGAAAGAAATGGAGCTAGAAATGGAAGAGAGAAAACAAGTCGAAGAAAAGAAGAATAAGATAAATGAAGCTGCTAGGAAAGCTGATGAACCAGTTGATGATTCAAAATTGGTTGAGGCGATGTTCGATTTTCTTCCAGATAGTTCTAGTGAAGCACCGACTCCAGGCAAGTATTCTAAATAGATATTTTGAGCACTACGAAATTAAAATAAGGAGGTAGCAAATCTAAAGGCAAGATCAGCTCTCGGAGTGCAGCACAACTTGCCAAAGTCCAGCTCTTGTGAATAAACGTGACGTTCATACCAAACTTAGAAAAATGGGTCTAGTTCTCAAGTTTCACCTCTCAACAGTATTACTATTAAATATACCATTTTAATAATAAATGTGACTTCTATGAGCGTTTTTTTTGCAGGTAGAGAAACATCTGTGTTCAATGACCTTCCCTCCACTCCCGCTGAAAATGAAATCATCAGCCCAATGGCAGTCGCTTCCGAAGACGAAGAAGATTTAAGCGAGTATAAATTCCAGAAGTTCGCGGCAACTTATTTCCAAGGCAACGTTGGACATCAGTATTCTAGAAAACCTTTGAAACATCCATTGCTGCCGCTTCATACGCAAGGGGATCAACTGGTATGTGGTATTCCGTACGTTCTTTCCACACACTTGTCGTTTCCCCAAACTCGAAACCTCTGCTAAGCCTTGGCTAGCTTTGGCGAACCATCCATACGTTTGGTGTGAGATCAGAGAAAGCAAGCCACAAGCCAGGCAAAATTTACTTTAATCAATCTTTATTAGCAAAATGTGTATTTTAATACTAGACACTGGGGTTCCCGGAGAAAAACGGCACCATATTTTGACTACTTCATTACGCTAAAAGCGACTATAACAACTCAACTTTTTTGGCTCAGCATAGAACAACTGACTTGAGCTCACAATTAACAGCTCTTCAAGTCAATAAGTGATACCAAGCTTATACAGGGTGTCCAGTGGGGAAGTTCACACTCCAAATTTGAATTACGCGTCAACCGTATACGCGAGGAAGTTGGGAGAGGTCTTGATCGACGCGTTCGGCGTGCGGGTTAAATAGTCACAATGGAACGTTGGACCGAAGCGCAACGTGCTTTTGCTATCGAGGCTTACTTTAAGAGTGGTGATTCATACTCAGCTGCACTTCGGAAATTTTGTACACGATGGAACATTCGCCAACCAACAGATGCCCCAAGTAAAAACCTATTGAATTGTGGATTAAAAGGTTCTGTGAAACAGGCTCTACTGTATCAACCGAAGAAAATATGCATCGAGTAAGTGATTTGGTCATTGCAAATCCTCTGCGTTCTGTACGGAAGCATTCCGCTGCTTTGGGAATCCCTAGGTCAACACTGCATGGCATAATGAAGAAAAAAATGGGTTTTCATCCTTATAAAATATTGTGCTGAACGGATGTTGAATCTTTTTCCTACTCAGCGCCGACTCGAGGACGTTGTTTTCAGTGACGAAGCCCAATTTCACTTAGAAGGCTATGTGAACGAGCAAAATTGCTGATATTGGTCACCAACGAACCCAAAAGAGAAACATCAACAACAGCTTCATAGTCCAAAGGTGACTGTTTCCTCTAGCGGTATTACTGAGCCGTATTTCTTTGAAGATGAAAACGGTCATGCACTGACATTCAATTTTGAGCGATACGAGGACATGATTGACACTCTTTTTGCTCCTGTTGTAAGAACAGAGCGTCGATTTAACAGAAACACATGGTTTCAACAGGATGGGGCCACAGCCCATACTTCCAGAGAATTAATGGACACGATGGAAGCACTTTATCCTCAAAAAGTTATATCGAAGTTTGGAGACATTCACTGGCCTCCTAGGCCACCCGATCTCACGCCATGCGATTCTCTTTTGAGGGGTTATCTAAAGTCAAAAGTGTATTCCAATAATCCACAAACACTGGAGGAGCTTAAAGACAATATTCGACAAGAAATAAACAACATGACTTCGGAACTCTGCAAGTGTTTCAGAATTTACGCGCGATTAGAAGAGTGTGGCCGAAGGGATGGCAAACATTTGAACAGAATGATATTTAAGGAATAAAACCCGCCGAATTTACGAATATGTTGATAGTAATAAATATTTTATTTTCATTAAGTTTGTATTTTTTTCTTAAATCAAAAAGTGAAATTTCCCACCAACATAGGTATGGGTTAGTTTGTAATGGCCCTAACTTTTTCAAATACCTAACAGATCGAATGATAAAATATCATAATCATATCAGTTGTTCGTTTTTCTTATGCATCCATTACTTGAATCGCATCAAATGACATACATATGTCCGCTGGTAGCTCACAAATCCACACAAACGTGTGGAACCTACTCAAGCGCTTGGTGCTCGAATTGCTTCCAAACGCTGGCAGTTCTACGCAAGCCAAGCCAAACAGCCGATTTATATGTTTGAATTTGTGATGGCTTGTCGGTGTTCGCCAGTGTACCTTTAGAATATTGCTATTTTGTCATCAACCATATTTTTTCTTTTAGGCTGCCCAAGCGTTATGGATAACTATTCTCCGCTTCACTGGCGATCTACCAGAACCTCGTTATCACACAATGGACAGAGACAACACCTCAGTCATGTCGAAAGTGACTGCAACGCTTGGCCGCAACTTCATACGAAGTAAGGAGTTTCAGGAGGCTCAACTTATGGGAATGGACCCTGAAGCATACATAATGGGCAAAGTGAGTATATTCTCATTAATTTTGGGTACTGTCTCCAGTAAAGGATTAGGTGAAAAGATAAAACGTGTGTCAATATGCAACCATGCAACCTAGGTACCGCACCGCATGCATATAAGGAGAAAAAACATATAAAATGTCAGAAAAATCCTATAAGATGAAATCTTGCAGACTAGGTAGTTTTCAGGGTGCAAACAGTCGTTCCACGTTTGCTCACTACGACCGTTGTGAGCGTCCATCTATGGAGGAATGGCTCAACTACAGCAGTACATGCATTGTTGGTTGCACATGTTTTGTGATGCCGAGTAGTCTATAGTTTTCACCTATGAGAAGACAGTTGGTTGAATAGCAAGATCGCATCTGGATGGTTGTGTGTATTGGTCTGCATGTATATAAAATCAGTGATATTTGCTGTGTTAAAAATCATTACTGAACATGCTGCCAATGAAGTATATCTAATAGCTATGCCCGACGGGTTATTTATATGTTGTCCTTTCTAAAGACAGATTATGTTCAAAGTTATAAATTAAGACTTTTTACGTTTTTTGTGTTTTCAAAAACTGAGGAGACTTATGGGAAATCACCACCGCGCGCGCGTTGTGTGTAATTACTGTTAGCATGTATATGACTTGTTAATCGGTTGGTTTTGGGTAGTTAGGACGTCGTAGAATATCTTTATTTAACGTTTAAGTAGCTCATAGGACTCCGGACTGTGAACACCTGAAGATGCCGAACACTCGTGTTGGCGAAACGTCAAATAAAAATATTCTAGGACGGCCTAAATACCCAAAAACCAACCAAATAACATTGGATGATGGCGGCGAAAGCCGTTCGTATTTTATTGTATATGACTTGTCATTCGACAGTGTATATGCGCAACTAGTTTCTGCTTTCAATCTCAATTAAGTGTATTTGAGACAAGAATCTAATGGAATTATCATCATCATATATTATTAGCACACAAATCCTATATGCACCTATTCATTACCGTTACCTCCAGTAATGCCTTTTCTGAAGCAGATTTTACATCACATCAGAGCCAAACATTGATAACTGAAGCCTCGTGACGTTTAGGCAACACGTACAACTACGAAACGAGTTCACGTGTCCATCAGCTAGTGCTAAGTTACATCTTGTAGAAAAACATTCATAATGTCACAAAAAATCAATATAATGTCAAAAAAAACACATAATGTCGCTTTTCAATATAGGTATGTAATATCCGTGCTGCGTAGGTAAACCGAGATGTTTATTTATAACTAAGATTTATTTGAAAAAAATGGGAGTGGCACGTTTCTAAAACAGTAACGAACTTGTTTGTTTAATGTTAGCTTACGGTGAGTGTCTACAGGATGCTGCTAATGTTTCACAAGTCTATTCAGATCGCTTTCATTGGTGTTTCCATCCCACGCTACAAAGGTGTTTTATCACATACAAGTCCGCTTGTAGGATCGTCAACGTGGGCCTAGTAAAAAGTCTGAATGATGCAAATCGAGGAAAAAATTAACAAAGTTTTGTTGACACGAACGGTGGCAACTTCCAATAGTATAATAAATAACATATGAAGTGCGATACTTGACATTTCTTTACATCATCACATCTGTTTTATTGCACATTAGATTGTTGTTTCTGAAAAGGAAAAGTCAAACTTCTAGAACACTCCGTATGTAACTTTAGGAATCGACGACAAATATGTGAAAAAATACCTGTTTTATCAACTATTTTACATCTTGATAAATGATTCATTTCAATAAAACATATTACTTTCTTCTATTTAGCAAAAACCGAGATCGATTCGGAACAAACTAGTGTCACTGACGTTGAAAAGAAAAAACAAGCTTGGAGAAGATGTAAGAAGGAAGCTACAGGATGAAGAATACACTGCTGACAGCTACCAGTCGTGGCTAGAGTCACGACCAACCAGCAATTTGGAAAAACTACATTTTATCATCGGACATGGTATTTTGAGAGCAGAACTTAGGTAAGTAGTACATATTTGCAACAGTTGCACGTTATACGAGGTTTGTCCGAAAAATACTTATAAAAAATTCGGGACGTGGTGTCAAGGCGTTGTGAAGGGATGGCCCGGTAGTTTCCTCTCTCTATGCAGTTCCCTCTATGATCAGTTCGAGCTGGAGCACTATGCGAATAAGTAGGATTTACGTGTGCTTGTTGAAAGTAACCCTTTTTTAACACGCTTTTGTTAGCTTGGCCTGTATGTATGTATGTTTCAGAATCTTTGAGCATAATTTTCATCAATTTTCACAAGTTTGATTAATCCGAAAGTTTGCACACGTTTCAAGGACCGATGACAATGCAATAATTTAATAAGTTTCCCATTATCCGTATTAGGACCGCTAGGATTGATAAGTTCTTTTATAGATTCACTGTAGGGGAGTAAGAGAGATAGAGCTAGCACACGATATGCGCATGCGTGCAGTTTCGGACTCACTCTTTGTTGGTTCGGGCACGCGGCACAGCATAACGGAGGCAGATACTTTTTCAAGGTAGTGCATTATCACCTTGTTCATTGCGAATATTGCCATTAATCCTGCGTTGGGCTTCGACCGTCCACAAGATGCAAGGTTGTACAGTCGACCATGCCGACATTTATCTAGGCTCGCGTCTGTTTTCTGCTGAACAAGCTTAGTCATGTAAGATATTTAGATGGTATTCGGATTGAAGAACTTGATTGCTCTAAGTTAACAGGAAAAACCCCTTGCAACAGTGAAGCTTTAAATGAAGTGATTAGATTACGAAATGATTCGTAAGACAACTAATTGATGAAATGAACTAAAAAATGAAAAATACATAATAGTTCAAGAAACTAAAAAAACACATGCTTTTATATATAACTAAACCGAACTAAAAAGTAGAAAATAATTTTTAATTACAAAGAGTTTACATTACAGTAGTACGAGTAGATGGTCGTACAATCAATCATAATTAATGACCTCAAAAAAAATTATTAACAGAATAATTCAATTCAGAGTAAAAAGCGTGGGGTGCTTGATATATTAAATGTTACAATCATTCTATTAGCAACTATCTATGAAAGGAGAGCTATCAAAATGTAGTACAATGCACCCCACGCTAATAATTTTTACTTGAGGTCATTAATTATGATTGATTGTTCGACCATCTACTACTGTAATATAAACTCTTTGTAATTTATTTTCTATTTTTTTTTAACTATTATTTATTTTACCTGCCGTCGGCTTGGAGCTCTTTCTGGTCGAGGAACTCCGCATCAACATCGTGCCAAGCTAGGCAAGAATGATCGTTAGATTTTTTTCTGAAGGAACCAATCGTCAACAAGTGGTTGGAAAGGTTTCTGGAAGATGTGAAAGATGACCAAGGCTTAGTACGCCCCTCCACATCGAGCTCTGAGAGAAATGTTGAACGAATTCGGGGCTGTGTTCTTAAAGACCGTCGATTGACAGCCCCAAAACAATCGTCCCCGAAATTCTGATAGAAAAACTTGAAATGAAAAAATTGTTTCAGGGATGAAATCTATTGCCAAATCTGCAAGCAACTATCGAACAACCCTTCAAAGTCGTCACACGCACGCGGATGGATCCTTCTGTCACTTTGCGTGGGGTGTTTTGCACCCTCTGAAAAGTTCGTCAACTACCTTAGGGCGTTCATAAGGGAAGGTCCGCCCGGTTACGCACCCTATTGTGAAGATCGACTGAAACGGACCTTTAATAATGGTAAGTTTTTTTTTTCACATGTGACTGACTTGATCCGTTTAATTTCTCTGTTGTATATGTTCAACTGATTTTTTCTCAGAGGATTTAAATTGCGCTGAATTTAATATTTTATGAACTGATCACGGCATTGCGTAAGAAGTGCAGAGTCAACCTACTTCATGTTCATTTTCACTTCAGGTACTAGGAATCAACCACCCAGCTGGCTAGAACTCCAAGCAACAAAATCGAAAAAACCCATCATGCTACCAATCACATTCATGGATGGTAACACGAAGACTCTTCTGGCAGACTCGGCGACGACAGCTCGTGAACTGTGCAATCAACTCTCTGATAAGATCGGACTTAAGGACCAGTTCGGGTTCTCCCTGTACATCGCGTTGTTCGATAAGGTGTCCTCGTTAGGTAGTGGAGGGGACCATGTTATGGACGCTATATCCCAAGTAAGATATTCTGGCTTTATCTAGAATTTGTAAAGAAATAATGGCTGACCCTGACATACAAAAAAGTTAATGATTCCATATTCTTAAGAAAGTCGTGTATATAAATGACGCAACATGGCAACTGTGTACACGCATAATACTAGAACAGTGATGGCGAACCTATGACACGCGAGCTCATTTTTGGTGACACGCATCTTCAAAAATAAAATATTTCAAAATTCAAATATGTCTCTCATAACGGCCAGGGTTGGTTATTGATAACATTATTATTACTTACGTTAATAATAAATATTTTTATTTATTTTTGTTTCATAAATAAATATATATATATATATATATATATATATATATAGGGTGTTTCAGAACTATGGGATCAAACTTGTAGGGGTTATTCAGTGTAACAGTAGAAAACATTTGAGTATAGTGACCCATATCCGGAAAAGTGTCACTACGGCCCTAAGACGCGTTAAAATTTAGAAAGACGATGAATTGTTCAAAATGTCTTCCTCCAACCTGAATACACCCTTCCTGTGGGGACATGTAAAGTCTTTGGTTTACAAAACTCCAGTAGAAACAGAGCAAGACTTAATTGGACGAATTACAGCAGCATTTGAAATCATTCAAAACGAGTATCAACTTTTTAATCAAGTCCGCCGAAATCATGTGCGACGTTTAAATCGGTGTATTCAGGTTGGAGGAAGACATTTTGAACAACTGTTGTGATGATATCATGTACAAAAGGAAAAATTAAATGCATTAAATCCTATTTAGGCTATTCATCGTTTTTCTAAACTTTAACGCATCTTAGGGCCGTAGTGCCGTAGTGACACTTTTCCGGATATGGGTCCCTATACTCAAATGTTTTCTACTGTTACACTGAAAAAACCCTAGAAGTTTAATCCCTTAGTACTGAAACACCCTGTATAATATATATATATATATATATATATATATATTATATGTGTTTACATTATAAATATATACAGGGTGACTTCGAAGTTGAGTCATTTATTTTAACAGTGAGTAGATCTGATCAAAAGAAATGTTTTTTTCCTTTACCATTTTTCTGGTAAAATTAAAGTAACAAAGTTATAGCCCTTTGGAAGTTTGAGTACCGTCCTGTCTCAATAATAATATTATGTGCTCGTGTTTGGCGACAACGGATATAATCCGCCTTATCGGTTCATCGCATCGGAAACAAAAAAGCGAAAGAATTTGGAACGATGTTTTTACAATTATTTCATTCAGTTGTATACAGTCAGTGTCAGTCGGTAGTGAATAGTGGTGTCTGTTGCGTGGCTCAAACGAAATAAAAAATGCGGATCGGTTTCCCAATCGAGTGCAACCAATCCCTCGTGCCTTTGTTAATGTAGTACAACGGGTTCGTGAATCAGGTGACTTAAGACCTCACATATGGACGGCATGCCGGTGCTCCAAGACCTCACGATCAAATACAGGTCCGCACTGAAATACTTGTCGGGAGGATACTTTATAAAACAAGGTAAACTTTTTTTTTAATTTTTTTTTTATTTTTACACACAGATTTTGGTTTATCTTCCTTCTACAATCATTATCTGAAAATTAATGACTCAACTTCAAAGTCACCCTGTATAATTAGAAAACAAACATAAAGACAATAAAATTAATATAAATTTTATTTATTTATTTTATATTATATAGGGTGTTCGAAAAATAGACGGAGATATTTTTGTTAAAAAATATGAAAAAAGTTTTAATAAACATGGGTTCGGCAATGCAGAGTTTTCAAGATACAGGGTGATAAATAGAATTTTTTTTCCTTTTTTTATTAATATCTCAAAAAATATTTACTCGATTCTGTTGAAATTTGACGATAATGTTTGTTGTATTAAGAGGCTAATTTAGCTCTAGATAGATTACAAATTATTAGGTCCAGTGGCGCCCCGGGGGCAGCTTAGCGAATATTATTGTCAAAAAAATGTACGCCACTGCCTTTTTTGCAACTTTAATATTTATTGTTTGACTAAGCATCTAAAAATACAAAACTTCATTGCCTGTTGTATTTTTTTCGTTTCAGAAAAAAAAATAATAACCGATTAATTGGTTTATTTATTTTTGCACAGAAAAATCATTTTTGTATAGAGGTTTGACATTTGGGCATCAGTTCTTACAGATGAAAAGTATTTACGAAATTTTATTTACAAAATTTCTGTAAAAAATTGTTTTTTTTTAATTCATCACCCTGTATCTTGAAAACTCTGCATTTCCGGACCCATGTTTATAAGAACTTTTTTTCATATTTTTTATCAAGAAACCCTATAAAATATCTCCGTCTATTTTTCGAAAACCCTGTATATTGCTTGATTTTCTATGTTAAGTGTCAATTAAATATGTAAAACATGTCCCTAAATGTTCATTGGGTTCATAATTTTGGTTTTGTATTTTAAGTGGCAATAAACGGATAATTAACTTACTTAAATTATAGATATTTTATTTTATTTTGTTTCGATTTTTCAAAATTTTGACACAACGAACTCAAAAGGTTCGCTACCACTGTGTTAGAATATAGTGATTGATGTATCTAGAGCGTAAAGTAGGTGTTTCTGGGCCTCGTCGTGAAATTAGTATCCAAAGTCAAAAATTTAGAGTAGCTTTTAAGCCGAATAATAATTGATAATTGGGCCATACTTTATCACCAGGTGCCGGTAATTCAATGATTGTGTAGCAAAAAAATACAATTCAGACAATTCTTGTACTTAACCACCGTAAGGGGTAAAGAGACTACTTCGCTGCCCAGTCATAGATAAGAGAAATAAATATCAATGCTCAGCATCAAACTGCAAACTTATGAAAATCTCACTGGCTGAAGTTCACACTTATCTCCTTTTCCTTGAACGCGATAAATTTTGAGCTATTTTAAGTTGTAAAAAATTAAATTTCATAGTCACTTTTTTTCAGTGCGAGCAATATGCCAAAGAACAAGGTGCTCAAGAGCGAAACGCTCCTTGGAGATTATTCTTCAGGAAAGAAATTTTTGCCCCTTGGCACGAACCAACAGAGGACCAGGTTGCAACAAATCTCATTTATCAACAGGTTTGTATATTCTGCAATTTCATAATCTGCATCTTCTCCACTATACAGGTTCATTTGAAAACTTTCCTCCACGGATTTATCGAAAACTACTAATTAAAAGAAAAAACGCCGAGACACGTCAAGGGGAGGGAACAACTTTTTAACCAAAAACTAGTTCACCCCCTTTGACCCTCTGCCTCCCGGGGTCATCCCTTTAAAAATTTTAAATGACAAGGGGTATCAAGTAATAACTTGTTTGAAAGGTCTTTCGAAGTCCTTTATTTTGACGTTTGATTTTCTTAAATCGGCCAATTCGTGTTCAAGAAAATTAGAAAAATCCTCATTTATCTTAATTTTTTCATATAGAAAACAAAAACACAAAAATATCTATTTTTGTTCCAATAAATGCTCAAAATGTTGCCCGTTATTGGCCAAACAATGATATAGGTAGGCGATGTTCAAATTCCTGACGGACATTTACAAAAACATGTTCTGGAATATCATGGCAGCTTTCGATGATACGTTGACGAAGTTCATTCAAACTTTCAGGTTGGGGAGTAAACACAATAGATTTCAAATGGTCCCATAGAAATAAGGCTAATGGTGTCAAGTCAGGAGATCTAGTAGGCCATTCCATAGACCCTTTTCGTCCTATCAACTTATCTGGAAACTCGTCGTCTAGCCATTGCCGAACCGGAAGAACATAGTAAGGATGAGCGCCATTTAGCTGGAAATATAATTATGTCAGCCTCATCAAGTATAGGGTTTCCATCCTCTTCGATTTGATTTTCAATGGTTTCAGTGATAAGCGGATTGATGGTATTTTCCAACATATCCAAATATGTAAATTTCCATTACTAAACAATGGCCAAACCACTTTATTTCCTAAATTGCCTGCCCATACATTAATTTTTTGGAGGTACTGTGTTTGCCCTTCTACAAAAGCATGAGGATTTTCATTGCTGCAATATCTGCAGTTATGCTTATTAACAAATCCATTTAGATAAATTGTGCATTCGCTGCAGTCAATTGTTCACAAAACTCAACTCGTCTATCAAAATCACCTTCGGTTAACTCTTGCAATATTTTCATTTTGAATGGATGAAATTTATGGAGTTTAGTAACTGTGTGTACAGAGCCTAATGAAATACTAGGTATTAGGATTTATTCCAAAATTACCCCAAACTTCAACTTGAGCGGCTTCATCAAAAACTCTCCGATGGTCAAATTTTTTATTTGCAACAGATCCAGTTTGAGTAAATTTCGTAAGAAGGTCCAAAATATACCTATGCGAAGCTATCTTCACCGGATTTCTGGCGTTACACGTGACGGCAGTTTGCCGAGCTCATTGATTTTGAGCAAAATAAATTAGAATCATTTCCACTCTTTCTGCTAGTGTGTAAACTATTTTGGAAGTAGAATCTAAATCAATAAATTAATTTTCACTATCCCAAGATTGTCACAAAGGCAACTGACAGCAAATTAAATGCTTTATTTCCCTTAGCAACAAATAATTAAACAGGTATAACAATAAATACTGTTCGCCCAGGATATCTGTGTAGATGAAAAGAATGCGGAAAAAATGCGGGTTGTCAGGTTGTTGCACGTCTAATCTTCCGAATTGCTGATTATGTTGGTAGTTTCCGTTTTAAATTATTAAGGAATTGCAGATTTGGGAAACCCTAACGCGCAACATTTTGAACACTTATTGAAATAAAAAGTGATATTTTCGTGTGTTTTTTTCTATCTGAACAAATTAAGATAAATAAACATTTTTCTAATTTTCTCGAAAGCAATTCGACTGATTTTAAAAAATCAAACATCAAAACAAAGGACGCCGAAAGACATTTCAAACAAGCTATTACTAGATACCCCTTGTCATTTAAAATTTCTAAAGGAATGACCCTGAGGGGCCGAGGGTGAAGTAGTTTTTGTTGAAAAATTGTCCCCTTTGACAAATCTTTTGACGTGTTTGCATGAATGATTCGAACAAAGGCTAATATATTATAGTAGTACACCTGAGCAAGCCGATAGTGAATATCGAGATTCTTGTACGTTTTTAAGTACAATGCTGAAGTCTACAAGAACTCTAGATTCGGCAAGGTCATTTCAAGGTCAAGTAAGTTTTTCTAAATGTACCTGTATTTTTCACATGGATGAAGCAAAAAGTTTCACGTTCGCCCTCCAAAAAGTTTTGTCTAAATTCTACCCGGAAGTAGATATAAGATTTTCCCTGGCTGACCTTCAAGATCATTCCAAGGAAAATTCATGTATTTTTAATACGAATCTATATTTTTTACACCAGAAATGGATAGACCGGAAAGCTGTACGTTTGGATAAGCCCTTAACCTCCAAAAAATTTGAAGCTCATCTCCAAGATCAAAAATAATCAATAAAATGACCTCAAAAACCATTAATCTATGAGAAATTTTCTCATTAAAAAAAATGCAATCGACTTAAGATGACAATAAAGGTCAGGGTACAGGTCAAATTCAATGTCACCATCAGATGGTCGGGGAAAATCCTACATCTATGTCTGGGTAGATATTGTCGCATCCTATTTTTTTAACATTGTATAATAGCAATATCCTATTTGCAGTGCGATTTGTCGCAAGCTTTGGATGCTATGATATCCTCAATTATTTGAATGATATACCAAACACTATATAATGGACATTATTTTAACAGGTTGTGAGAGGAGTGAAGTTCGGCGAATATCGCTGTGACAAAGAAGAAGACTTGGCCATGATTGCAGCTCAACAATATTTTATAGAATATGATACTGATATGAACGTTGAAAGACTGTTAACCTTATTGCCAAACTATATTCCCGACTACTGCTTGACTGGTGTAGAAAAAGCTGTAGATAGGCAAGTTCAAATTTGTTTAGAAGGTCTCTTTCGTTTATCAAAAAACCGGTATATAAAGTCAAAATACAAAAGAGAAAGAAATAGCTGAAATGAAAAACCTATAAACCAAAATTACTATTTTGTAATCATTTATATGGTTTTGTATCCCTTTTGTTGAGATAAATACATTTATGATAGTTTTCTACAATAATGTTGAATTTGGGTAATCTTAAAAAAAATCCAATTTCACACTGTTTTGTTAAGTATTATTGTTATTTGCAAAAGAAACAAATAATGTTTCACATTCGTCAAAGACGTGCGATTTTTATACTAAACAAATTTTTAGGTGGGCTGCTTTAGTGGTGCAGGCGTACAAGAAAAGCTATTATTTGAAAGAAAAGGTTCCGGCATCGCGAGTTAAGGAAGACGTTGTGAGCTACGCGAAGTTCAAATGGCCACTGCTATTTTCCAGGTGAGTTACTATAGTGAATCATTATCTTATCTACCTGGGTCGGTCCAGAAATAAGGTTCCCATAAATTTTAGAAATACAGAACATTGTTTATTCTTATAGAAATTTACATTATTGGAAATATGAAACCGAGTTCTATTTTCCTACATAATCTCCATTTTTTTTTTCTAAACGGTATTCCAATGTTTGTATTCCAATTCCACCTCTGTTGCCAACCCGTTGGAGAAGCGTTCTACCTCCTATTTGATTTCACCATCCCTCTGGAAGATATGGCCACACAAATGTTCCTTCAGTTTTCAATATTTTCAAAAATTTAGAAAACTGAATAGTTACAAAATTATAAAAATTTTGAGAAATTACAAAGCATCCTGAATAGAGCTCTATAACATTTTGGGATGGGGATACAAAAAGTGGAATACCGTCTTCAAAAACGCATAGGAAAGCATGGCGATTATGTAGAATATAGAGCAAAGTTTCATCTTTCCAATGGTTTCTATGAGAATATACAATCTTTTATATTTAAAAATCGAAGGGGACCATATTTCTGGATCAACCCTCGTATATGTCATATTATCATAATTTGTCGGTAAATAGCCCTAGATTATTCATGTTTGACATACGCAGAAGTGGAAATGAATGTACAGGGTAGAGCCATAACTAAACTTATTTAAGAAAAATGCCTAGTTATCTGTAGTTTGGAGTGAGACCATGAAAGGCAAAAGTTGTTGAAAGTGGCGACGACGGTAAATGAGTTCGAGATGCTTTGGTATCTCTTCGGCATTAAACATATGTGATTTTACATGCCATTCCAAATGGCTTTGCAGTATTGTTATCGCGAAAAATTCGGAAATCGAGTTATACGTTTTTTCATCATGAAAAACCTTGACCGGTAATCCTTTTGGCCTCTTAAGAAGCTCTGCTCGGATTTGTTTTATGCACAAGGACGAAACAGTATTGTGTTCTGAAAATCGGATCAATGGCGGCAGAGTATAAATTTATCATTTATTTTTCGATATTTTTCGAGTTTCTGATGTGTTTCGGGCGCAGTCAGAATAGTACATTACATACCTTCTTAAACTAGGTATGTATGTAATTCTTTTCACTGCTAACAATACACAGTGCGACCCTTTAAATACTCCCCACCTAATTATTTCGAAAACTACGCATCATAGAAAATATGTTAATATGTTAAACAAAACTTGATGGGCTTTGAGGGTACAAAATCGGGGTGAGCTTGATAATGACACGAGATTCAAGGTCATTTCAAAGTCAAGTGGAGATTTTCAAATTTTACTTCGCATTTGCAAAGAAGAGGAACTTTTACGCCCGAATATGACCGTCACCATAACGTTGACTATATCCTTCAAAGTCATTTCAAGGTCTAATCAAAACGATGAACACTTGGTCTAGCAAACATGTTCTATAGCACAACTGTAAGATTTGTGGGGATCACCCAAATGTGACGTTGACCATGACCTCGACCATGACCTGCAAGGACAACTTAAATTTTCCAACGGAAAGCTCTAATTTGAAAATTTGAAAATCAAGAACTTTTACGTCCGAATGTGACCTAGGCCTCAAATCAAGGTCGTGTCAAGGTTAAATTTTATATGAGGTCAAGGTCGCATTCAGATGTAAAATTTCCTGCTTTTTCCATTTCCAGTATGAAAATGAGATGTTTCCTTGACTTGACCGTGAAGTTCATGACCAAGGTATCCTCTGTGTGATCCGCATAAACCTCACAATTGAGCTGTGGAGCATTTTCGCTAGAGCAATTTTTTTTTGTTATCTTGATTTGACCTTAAAGACTATAGTGAAGGTCATTGCCTAGGTGATATTCGTACGTTAGATTTCCCCCTCTTTTCAATACCAGTGTGAAAAGGGGTGGTTTCTATTCTAAAATATTTTCTTGGCCTTGAAATGACCTTAAATGTCGTTGTCAAGGTCACCATCATTTTGCCCTACCAGAAACCCTACAGCTTTGGTTTGTAATTTTTTCTAGAATGCATAATTTTCGAAATATTTAGGTAGTGAGATTAAAATGGGACACCCTGTATATCACAAAATATGCAATATCACATCACGATTATGATGTGTCCAACTTATTTCACAAACACTTCGAAATAACTTGCCTGTTGTCAGGCTGGCAAACTGGCTGTTCCATTTAAGGTGAAAATGTGGTTGCTTGTATTTTCCTTCTGTTAGCATTGATAGCCGTTTTCCAATAATATGCTGATTATTGGTGTATTCAAGACATATAGTTATCAAACTGATATAGTGAAATTGACAGAACACAATCTTAATTATTTACCTAGATGTTTTTTCATTAGATAAATTAGATCATTCTTAATAACAAAGCTAACTTAAAACTAAACAAAATTACATATTTATGTGGATCTCAAGTAAATGAATTCTAGAAGTCTTACATGATCTAATATGCTTTACAAATACACGGCGAAATTGTTGATTCTTTTGATATCATCAGGGAGGCTCATTAATTTTCAGACCATTATAAATGATTGATTGATTTAGTTATTAGGTGTATTAATTTAAGATCTTGTTTGTCTAATACCGTAACTTATATTTGATGTCTCAAATTGAGACTTATTTTAAAAAATAAGAGTTGATATTTCACAAATTGAATAATGATACGGCAGTCATTATTTTAAGATTTTCAAATAAAGGCCTGCATGTAGTTCTAGGATTGCTTTTAATTATATTATCTAAAAGAGCAATAATTGAAATCTGTTTATCGTTTAAATTTGAGTATAACCGTTGGGGTAATGTGAAATTGCATCCATGGTAGTTTTTTGTTTTTGAAACCCAAATTGGTTTTCACTTATAATTTTTTGATTTCTTCTATTATTTTTGCTATAAAAGTGATTAAACTTATGGGTTTATAGTTTTCTGGTATATCAATGGGGCCTCCTTTATGAATGGGAATAACTACTGACATTTTTAAAAATTCTGGGTAAACACCTTTATTGAGAGAAATATCTGTAATTTTTGTCTACGTATCCAGAGCCTCAAGTGAAAGATTACCTAGCTGTAACATTCAAAGAAATTTCATCAATACCTGAAGATTGTTTATTTTTGGTAGATTTTAATACTAATTACAGTTCATAAATGTCCGTAGGATAAAGTGAGATTTTCTGATCTATATTTATATGATTTAGATTTTTTAACGGGTCTTCTGTATTTGTGTAGTATTTTTTAGTTTTTCTGCCTTCGGGCAGTAATAATAATTTAGTAGGTCAGGATTTATAGGTGGTATGTTGGTAGAAGTAGGAGATTAATTCATTAATTACTTTCCATGCCTTTTTGGTTTTATTTCCTGCACTTATTATTATCTGTTAAATAGTAAATCATTTTTGCTGAAGCTACAGTCATACAATATTTGTTGAAATTTCCTTTTTTTATAAATTTCTTGATATAGTAAAAGGATCTCCAATTTCGAAATAATATTTTCAATTCATTTGTGATCTACGGTTGTTCACTATTATACTTCACTATTATATTATCACACTATTATATTATCTATTCATCTACCAGAGAAAAAGCTACGAGTACTTCTCATTGGAGGATTGTGATGAGTAATGGTGGTTGCTCAGGTTAGTAATGAAAATAAATATTTACTCATCACCATTTTATATACTAGTATTTCATATATCACCAATGATGTTGAAAGTATTTAAAATTTCAAATAGGAATTCCTCGTGTACTTGGCAAATTTAATTTTTTTTGCCAAATACCCGTCAAAAAATATTGCTCCCTGAATTCCATCATGTCGATACAGTGGTTACTGACACTACACAGTGTCTTATCAGATCTAAAGAAAACCTGATCTCTGTACACTCATGCATGATAAATAAAGAATGTCTGGTAATCAATTATCTAAGCAGCACGATAACAATTACTCGTATAAAACGTGCCAACCAGCAAAAAAACGGCAATCAGTAGGTTACGCCGATCATATCTCTCACGTGAATCGTTTTTTCTAAGCTCGTGAGTAGATGTTCTATTATTATAATGCTGTTCGGCTTTGATCTCTGTGGAATTCACTTTCTCTCTCGATGCCAATCCCATCAAGGATATTGCCACCTTCTGCAGACATACAGTTTACTTTATTAAAAATTCATCTGTGCCGCTCTATCAGTCGTTTTCCGTATTGCAGAGATTGCAAAACCGTTTTGATCGTCTGACTATCGGTGTGTTCTTTGAGTTTCCCGGATTTTTTATAGCTTTTTGTTTTCTGTGTCCGGTATTCAGGTCAGTAACTCTAGTTAACGTTAATCGAAAATATATGTAAATGCGCTTAGTGTAATAAATATTTGGTTTTATTTGAACATTAAACGTTCAGGTATGCGGTTATTTGTAATAAAATGTCTGATTTATCAATGTATTACCTACTTATTTTTAACGTTTAAGAGAAATGTAAGAACAATAGTCTTTTACCCATTCTTTTCTTGAATTTGAGATCTGAGTAAGTAGAACTGGGAAAAACTTCTTTCCGAAAATTTTATCCCACATTCTGAACACCCTAGAATCAAAGGGACGGTCGTACTGGTTAATTTTTTATTTACGTAGTCTGACTAAGTTTGAATTAGAAGCCTGGCGGATTCCTAAGGATTCCTAAGATACGGTCGCATCATCATGAAGAAAATCTAGGCGGGGCAAAGTTCGTTGGTATTTCGGTAAAACTGACTAGCTGTAAACAAGAACCCGATTTTTTTTAACAACTGCTGAAATGCATAGAATATGTCTGTTTTAAATCATGCCACGGCAGGGTTATTGCTCGGATTCTTCGAAATTTACGCATTCGTAAATATGTAAACGATACGGTCGAAAACGATGGCATAAAATGATATTAATTAAATCAGTCGTGTGTTGTAAAAATGCTAAGTGACACTGTATATTAATGTAACATCTGAAACTTATCCTGTGGTTTGCATGTTGATAATCCCCCATGTTTGTCTGGCCAATCAAAACCACATATATTTTA